AAGTAGAAACAATGGTTATCTAATTATATGTGTAAAGAAGATGGCCAATTAATTTATTTAATTATAAAGAAAATTTGTTGAAATTAAGTTTTATATCCACCTTTGTTAACAAGAAATACTGTGTGTTGAAGCTTAGTTAATGATAGTAGTGCATACGGCATGCATATGTTGAGGTTGCTTCTTTTTCTAACTGGATATGCACTCAAGCTATTTGGAGACCACTTAGTTAGAAATATCACTTGGAATTTGTATACATGATTCTGGGTGTTTCTAGTTGAGCTGACATATCAGGAGAGTTGGGAGATATGTGAATTCAGGGTAACAGTAAGGAATCTGGCAAATAACCAATATCAGAAGCAGGTGGATTTTGTGGTTTAATTGTACAACTGACATTCTGGACGTATGAACCTTGGTACTATGTGAGTTGCTAAGTGTCTGGGTATATCCTTGTCAAAACCTGGACCACTGTCCCTGTGCTCTACATGACCAAGTGGAGAAGTAGCATGATGTTCTGCTGCTCCATGCACTAGGTCAGGCATTTGAAAATGATAAGTAACACAATGCTGCAAGCAGAGGGAACATCTCAACGTAAGTGTTAGGTGGTAAAAGGTGAACCATGAGCCTATCATATTTAAATAATTTATTCATAACAACTAACCCCTCCATGTAGAGGGAAGAAAGACATTTGTTTGGATTAGCTCAGATATTCTACTAGTGGTCATCTACCTAGAAACTCCAACTTAATTTACACTTTGAATTAATTAGTTAAGCAAATATTTATCGAATGCCTACTAAGTGATTAGTGCTAGTAATTAATGCCACTTGTGAAGCCGTTTTCTATGCCAAGCTGTGGGCTAAGCCTCTTAAGTATGTCTTCATGATTAATCCGTCAACAACTTTTAAAGTAGATGTTGTAATCCCAATTATAGACATAAGAAAACCAAGGTAGTTAGCCCAATTCCAAACAGAAAGAACAACCTCAGATCTATCGACACAATGCCTTGATGGATGGAAAACTATAGAAAGACTGAGTGAAGGGGACAGGAGGGAAAAACCATGGAAACTGGGAGAGCAACAGCCTCTCTCTGAACTACTTTCTTTTTTTTTAGTTGAAGTATAATGGACACACAGTGTTACATTAGTTTCAGGTGTACAACATAGTTGTTTTATGCTGAGCTACTTTCTTTTCTAAAAAAAGATTGATTTATTTATTTCAGTGAAGGAAGGGGGAAGGAGAGGGAGAGAGAATCTCAAGCAGACTCTGCACTGAGCACAGAGTCCGACGTAGGGCTCAAGCTCAAGACCCTGACATCAGACCTGAGCTGAAACCAGGAGTCGGATGCTGAGCCAACTGCACCACACAGGTGCCCCACCCTGAGCTACTTTCTAATGGGAACTGCCTGGCACTTTGTCCTCAGATCCCTCCTGCTGTGTTATTTGAAACTTTCTGAAAGCTCTAGAGCAGTCTGGCACCACAGAGGGGAAAGAGAAGACTTCAATAGCTGTAGCCCTGTCAGTGTTTCCAGATTGTATTATCAGTCTCTCAGTTCTTATTCTGACCTTCATTTTATGGCCTCCCAGTAAGTGGCCTTCTGCTCATTCCCCCAGTGGCAGCTCTTCCTATCCTTAAAAATCAGATTCTTATCCTTCAAAATCAGACTGTCTTTGACATCTCTTGCAGGTATTTCTCAGGCTAACTATAATCTTCTTGGGTGATTTGCTTATGGGGGTGATACAAGGTTGAGGTCCAAGAGACTCTCAGCGTCCTCCAGACTCCCATCATCTGCCCTGTGCTTGTCTGAATAAACTCTCCAGGTCTTAGCTCTTTTTAAACAGAGGTTACTGGTGTTGCTATGTCAACTTTGGCTTCTTGAGTTTTTCTATCTGCAAATCAAATATGGCTAATAGTATATATATGGCTATTTCACCAGTGCTTTTGTCAATTGATAAGATGAAGTGGTTAATTTAAATGATTCCTACCAATATCTGACTGATTAGTGGAAGATGAATTCTTTGCCCGACTTTGCATTCTAGTAGACTTATTAGAGGAAATAATCTTAATGCTGTGAAGAATTTCAGAACTGAGGAAGAAAGGGTGCATTCGAAGATTGTATATGAGGGAAGACAGCCCTAGTATCTTCATGACTCCTGTTATCCATCCACTAAGACTGACCTTTCTCTTTATATCATGGAAATGCCAGTCTCTGTGAGTCTTTGTTTCGGCACCAGTATTCCTTTTTTTTTTTTTTGAAATCATTTTTATTTAATCATGTACATGGAAAGTTCCTGATTTTTTATATGATTTTATGCATAGGTGCAGTATGTGGTATCCTACCAATAAATTCACTTGCATTGATTTCATTAACATGTGTTTATTACCACATATGCATTTAAATGTACATATGCTGTGCCTTGTTTGAGAAAGGCACCCTTTGTGGGGGTCCCCCAAAAGGGATTGGTGATTTGTGGTAGTATGAAATGTAGTATGCCAGTTCTACTTTGCCCAGGAAAGCTCTTTTTATTTTTAAAAATTTTTTAATTAACATATAATGTATTATTCATTTCAGGGGTACAGGTCTGTGATTCATCAGTCTTACACAATTCACAGTGCTCACCATAGTACATACCCTCCCCAATGTCCATCACCCAGCCACGCCATCCCTCCCACCCCCTCCACTCCAGCAACCCTCAGTTTGTTTCCTGAGATTACAAGCCTCTTATGGTTTGTCTCCCTCTCTGGTTTCGTCTTGTTTCATTTTTCCCTCCCTTCCCCTATGATCCTCTGTCTTGTTTCTCAAAATCCTCATATCAGTGAGATCATATGATAATTGTCTTTCTCTGATGGACTTATTTCGCTTAGCATAATACCTTCTAGTTCCACCCACGTCGTTGCACTTGGCAAGATTT